CACAAAGTATAAAACATACAGAACATAAATAAAAGTGACAGGAACAAAATAGACAGGTTGATATATACTACCAACATAACTGATGTGGCAATGTTGCCATATTAAATATAACACAACTCTAGTTTTGGTGTCATAAAATAACACCCCCACTACATCAAAACTTACAACTTTCACATAAACCAATGCCATTTATAAATTTATTGTGTTTACATACCTTCAGACTTTTAGTCATTATATCAGCAATCATTTCATCAGTTGGCATATAACTCAGTGTAACATTTTTATTAGATATTGCCTCTCTGATAAAATGATGTCTTATATCAATGTGCTTCGAACGCTTGTGATACATTATTGGATTTACAGCAAGTTTTTGAGCAATCAAATTATCATTGAATAGTCTTATACAAATTGCATCATCTGTCAATTCACACCAAAGATTCTTGAGGTATATGGCCTCTTTAGCTGCTTCTGAGACTGCCATATACTCAGCCTCTATGCTTGATAAGGCTACACTTTTTTGTTTTCGGCTCTCCCAAGATATGGCACTTTCAGACAGCTTAAAAATGAATCCTGTGTAGGATTTTCTATCTTGCCTATTACTTGCCCAATCGACATCTACAAAACCTTCAATAATAAAATTATTTGATTTTTTAAAAACTAAGCCTAAGTCCTTAGTCCCCTGCAAATATTCAAAAATTCTTTTTACACCTTTCCAATGAGATTCAGTACATACATTATTAAATTGGCTCATAAAGCTCACTGAAAAAGCAATATCAGGGCGAGTGAGCACTGCCAGATACATGAGGCTGCCAATCGCTTGCTGATAGGGAATATTTTCATTGGAAATTTTAACCTGATCACTGAAATCCAAATTTGTTTCTAAAGGAGTAGACATAGCTTTACAATTTGACATATTAAATCTTTTTAATATTTTATTTACATAATTCCTTTGATTCAAAATTATGGTACCCTTCTTTTCATCTCTAATAATTTCCATCCCTAAACATTCTCGGGCTTCACCCAAATCTTTCAATTTGAATTTACTGTTTAGTGTAGATTTTAATGAGTCAGTTTCACCAGAGTTGTTTGAGAATACAAAAAAATCATCAACATATAAGGCTACAATAGTTAAACAATTTTTGTTCTGTTTGATGTAGATACAATGTTCTAACTCAGATCTTTTATAATTTAATTCTGTGAGAACCTTATCTACATTCTCATACCACACTCGTGAAGACTGTTTGAGCCCATAGATAGCTTTTTTTAGTTTACATACTTTGTCTTTACAATCAGATATTTCAAAAGCTTCTGGCTGTCTCATATACAAATTTTCAGTTAAAACACCATTTAAAAAAGCTGTCATAATGTCATAATGACTAATGGTCAAATCTAATTGTACTGATAAAGCAATTAATAATCTTAATGTGCTGTGCCTTACTACTGGCGAGAAAGTTTCATCATAGTCAATACCAAACCTTTGTGAATAGCCTTTGGCTACTAGTCTTGCACGATAACGTACACTGCCATCAATGCTTTTCTTCTTCTTATAGACCCACTTGCAGTCTATAATATTTGCACCATCAGGAACTTTTATGATTTCCCATGCTTCATTGTCAATGAATGATTGGTATTCGTCTTTCATCGCCTGTCGCCACTGTTCTTTTTCAGATCCTGACAAAGCCTCCTTCACATTAATTGGTTCCATGTCCATGTCACCTGACATACATACATAAGAGACAAAATCATCAAAATTTTTAGGTTTTGGTACTCTGCTGGAACTTCTGACTGCCCCTGGTGTTTCATCCATAGTCTGACTTTCAATGATTTCATTTGGTACATAGTCACTATCACTGCTTGGATTTTCATCTGAAATTTCCTCTTCATCCACAACTGAACTGTACTCTGAATTATTGCTGCTATCAGTACTTTCTGAGATGATTATTTCAGTAGTAGCAGGATCCCCCACTGGTTCAGAGTTTACTATAATGGGAACTTCTCCTGACTTTTCCATTATCACAACATCTCTGCTTGTAGAAATAGAACCAACTTCTGGATCATAGACTCGGTATCCTTTGACATTCTCACCAAAACCGATTAAAATCATTTTTCTTGATTTCTTCTGCCACTTTGTTCTATTTGCTTTGGGCACATGGACCATTGCAATACTGCCAAAAATTCTGATATTTGCAATGTTAGGTTTTTTACCATTCCAAAGTTCATATGGAGTTTTATCACCACCTAATCCAGCAGCTACTGACCTATTTTTCAAATAGATTGCGGTATTTACAGCCTCTGCCCAGAACTTCATTTCTAATTCAGCATCAAACAGTAAACATTCAGCTTTTTCTACTACAGAGCGGTTCATTCTTTCTAGAACTCCATTCTGCTCTGGGGTGTGAGGGTTCGTCTTCTGATGTACAATACCATTTTTAATTAGAAACTGCTCCATTTCCTTACTACAAAATTCGCCGCCATTGTCGGACCTTAGAATTTTCATTTTGTGTCCCTTCTGGTTTTGAACCATGGCATCAAATTCCTTGAATTTCTCAAAAACTTCAGACTTATATTTTAAGAAATAAACAAAAGTCATTTTACTAAAGTCATCCTCAAATAGTAAGAAATACTTGGAGCCTCCAATTGATGTATTTTCCATTGGGCCGCAAACATCTGTGTGCACAAGTTCTAGCAAAGAACTTGCTCTTGTACCCTGATGCTTGAATGGATGTCGTGATTGTTTCCCTTGGCAACAGACGATGCACCTGTTTGTAGTGTCAGTTTTTGTCTTGAAGATCATACCTTCAACAGCACCTGATTGCATTTTACATAAATCCTTGTGATTTACATGCCCTAATCTGCGATGCCATATTTCACTATTGGCACTTGCTGCTGTTGATGATGATAACAAACACTGGTGCTCCTTTTTAACTCGTAACTTGTAAACATTGTTAACCAAGTCTGCAATAGCCATACTAACACATTGTCTTTGTTGTAGATTTTACAGCAATTCTCTTCAAAATTAACTTTATTCCCATTATTGATTAACTGGCTTACTGAGAGAAGATTAGTCATCAACTCTGGAACATACATAACATTTGTTATTGTTATGGTACGGCTATTTTGATTAACAAAAGTCACAATGTCTATATCGCCCACGCACGAAACACGAAGACTTTGATTGTTGGCTGTTACAATATCTTGTAACTCAACATTTTTTGAAACACTCTTCAACCAATCAAGGATAACGGTAAGATGTCCGCTCGCCCCAGAATCCACAAACCATTCAGTCTTATTGAACTGCCCACTTAAAAATACGGCACTGAATGCATTTGAAGTCCTGTTTCCCACATGTTTGGAGGGATTTGGACATTTCGTTCTATAATGTCCGGTTTGTTTGCATCTGAAACACTTCACATTTTTTAGGTTATTGTCTTTGACATTTCCTTGCACTTGCACAGAACCCTGCATATTTGAACTGCCTGCAGTGTTGCCGCTGCTGCTATATCTATTGTTCTGGTGCCTATGGTTTCCGATGATAAAAGCGCCACCTGTATTTTTGTCCGCCGGTTCCATGTCTAACAGCTTGGTCTTGATGCTGTCTATTGTCAACTCGATCCCGGAATGTTCTATGGCCATTATCATCGGAGCGAACTTGTCTGGCAAACCAGCTAACAAAAGTGAACCAACCCATTTATCGTCAATCTCAAAACCTGTACCTTTCAACTTCTGAGCAGTCTCTATGAGCTGAGTGACGTAGGACTCCATAGTATCACAACTCTCAAGTCTAGTTGAAATTAGCACTCGCAACAGGCTGATTTTTCGACAAAATCCTTTATCATCAAATAACTTTTCCAGCTTGGTCCATAAGTCTTTTGTAGATGTTGCGTCTTTGAGATGAACAAACAATGATGGATCGATTGTTAAAATCAACTTGGCCTTGGCTTTTCCGTCTTTCACTGTGTCTTCTTCACTGCCGTCTAAACAGCCTTCCAGGTCATCCAACACTAGCATATTCTGCACTGCGAATGACCAGTCACTGTAGTTTTCTCGGCCTCTGAGCTTCGGAACACTTGATAAGAAATTCATCGCCATTTTCAGTCCTGAGATACCTTGAACTTTTTAATTTACACACTGAAGCACGTGTCATCAGGGTGTCTGAGCCCATAACCTATTAATCAAGAATTAAAAGACATGCGTTCGTGTACACTGTTCAGTCTCGACTAACTTTTATTGACACAAAGTATAAAACATACAGAACATAAATAAAAGTGACAGGAACAAAATAGACAGGTTGATATATACTACCAACATAACTGATGTGGCAATGTTGCCATATTAAATATAACACAACTCTAGTTTTGGTGTCATAAAATAACATATTATACTACTTGGTCATATGGGTATAACCCACTCAGATGACTACTGCACTCGCCTTCGGCTCGTACTGCAACTTTCATCTTCGTGGGTAATAGCCATCATTATGCTCTCGATGTATAATATATACTAATTATTCAATGAAAAATGGTGGATATAGGTGCCTACATTTTAAATTTCATTGTTTACAGATACTTCATTTTGAACTATCTTTAGCTAGGTATGCTATAAACAAAGTAATCGCGGTACTGCAACAACTTTAATATTATTCCTATAGGCATTATCAATATTAAAAACATAATTATTATAAATGGTTATGGGCTGGCTTGAATTTGTAGTTGGATCAGGGTACTTTCTGTTTGACAGAACCGTTTAAACAGATATGACAAATCAACATATAATATTATTATGTCATCAACAACAATACCTGGCCTATTTCGCAACCAGTGAAATTAATTCAAAATTGTCAGGTTTATATAATTTATGGTGTGAAATTTTCTTACCGAATACCACACAAGCGTAAATTAGTCCTGGAAATGTTTTGAGCTCTTGTGATATTATATGTGAAAATTTTCAGGGCGTGAGTATAGGTATAGTATAGATAGGGATATATTTTTTTTTAGACAATTATGGCTGAATTACTGGAACTCCAAAATAAGTTGGTATCGATGAAGTGCTGCCTGTGCAACAATTTTCTATCAGTGCCACCCATAATGGTGCTCTCTAAAAATGGAAAGCAATCGAAATGTGGAAGGTGTAAAAACAACAATGAGAAACCATCGATTTGTAGAAATTTCACTTTTGAGAATGTTGCGATGGACTTCTCATTTCCTTGCATATACAAAGATTGCAATGAAATGATTCCGTGGAAAGAGGTGGAAAGTCATGAAGACGCTTGTGATAAAAAGACGATTAAATGTCCAATTTATTACCAAAAATGCGAAGGAATTTTTCAGGTGCGAAACTTGGAGGAGCACTGTAAACGTTATCATGAGAAGAATATTTATTATGAAACTTTCAATTATTCAATAAAGGCCTCTGCAACTATGATAAGTTTTGTTCTATACGATAATTACCAGTTCATTACAACAATTGCAACACATAATGGAATATCAGAGATAAATGTTGCTTTTTTGAAAAAAATCAATGATGTTTTCACATACGATTTGCAACTAATCAGCACACGAAATGATACTTTTGTCACGTATAAGAATCAGCCAACCAGCAAATATGATGAGAGAAATCACCATCATAGATGTATAATATATTCTGAATGTGAAAGGATGAATGGCTATCCTCATGCAGAAGTAAGAGACAATGCTCCTGTTGATATTTTGTTCAAGAAAGTCGTTCTTGTTGCCGTGAAATCTCTTTTTGGTGATATTTCCAGATACAGAATAAAAATCGTTCCGAATAAGGAATATAGGAATAACAACAAAGAAACATCTAGCGACACTGCAAAAATAGAAAATCCTAAGAATGAAGTGAACATCGTAGATGAATGTTTGGAAAAGCTTAAAAGGCAATTTCTTTGTCCCATATGTATGGAGTACATGGTTGATAAAATCTATAACTGCGAAAAAGGACATGTATTGTGCAAAAACTGCAAAGTCCAGCTGACTGAATGTCCTTCTTGTAGAATAAAACTTGGAGAAGCAAGATGTTTCCCTCTGGAAAATTTGGCAGATGAAGTAGTGCTCGCTTGTCTATATTCCAAAAATGGTTGTGAATTCACTGAAAAACTAAAATTGCTCTCTCAACACGAAAAAGAATGTGTACATAAACAGGATTGAATTGATCCTGATAATGAATCATTATTTGAGTTGCATTTTTCAAGTTACAGGTGGTTAGTTTTTAACAGGGTAAAGGCGGATTTATGCACACCGCTTTTTCATTAATCTGTAATTTCACAATCATTAACTATTTCACTAATAAGTTGAAACTTGGTATTCCCGTTCATTCATTTATGCATCTAAATTGAATTTTATCTTTCATTAACTATTCGCTAAAAGATGACCAACTTTTATCTCTTAACGACAAATACAAATAAAACTGTGACTTGCGCAGGCGCGATTTTGTCAGAAGTCAGACAAACAATTTCTTCCTCTTCTTTTGCCAAAATGACGTTGAAATTTCTGAAAATTCTAGTCGTATGTTCAAATTAGACTTTGGAAACAATATGAATGATTGATTCTTATTGTAATTATGTGATCACTGAATGTTATAACACAAATATTTTCGTCGGGCTATGTACGATGAGGACTATGTTTTGACCAAGAAGAAGAGTTCAAAATTAAAAAGTGGTGGTGCATAAAGGTATCATAGTCCTTAAATAAAAATAAACTTAATGACACTTAATGAAAGCAACAGATAAATGAAAAAGCGTTGTGCATAAATCCACCTTTAGCAGGAATTAATTCATGTGAATTAAGTCAGTGGTTCAATTCATGATTTAGTTCAAATGACTTATTTTACTTTCAATTCAAACTAGTTTAAGCCGAAATATCCTATGGCATCTGACATTTTCTAAGAGCTGCTTTACAGTTTACAGCAATTTTTCATAGGTCGCGTGCACGATGACATTGAAACACAACCTCACTTTTTTTATTTGTTTACAGAGGAATCAAAAGATTGAAATAGTTTTTCACTACGAATCGTGTTTTTTGCGCTATTCATTAATTCAAGCATGCATTCACATTGTGTTGTTGTACAATGCACAAAAAATGCAGCGAGAGACGAATAAAGAGTATGATTTTTCAAGTGAATAGTGATCTCACATAGTTTTCATTAGTAAATTTTGTCATTTCTTATTAAAATTCCTTCTGCCACATCTACAATAGAAGGTGATACTGCTAATAGATTGAAAATGTCTACAACACACAGACGATCATATTTCGTCAGCATGTCAGACCAGTCCTCCCGTTTGATTGCATTCTTTTAGAAATTTCACGAGCATTTCTATTACCTCCTATTCCAGAAAGAATCCAGATGAGAAATTACGAAATCTCAAAATGAAAACTATATGTGAGTGACTATAGTAGGTACTCACTTTTAAATCATAATGTACCAACCGGATTTCTTCGTCTCTCGCTGTATTTTTTGTGCATTGTACAACAGCTTAATGTGATGGCATGCCCGAATTAATGAATAGCCGAAAAATACGATTCGTATGCCAAAATAATTCTGGAAAACTATCTCAATCATTTGTAAACAAATAAGAAAAGTGAGGATGTGTTTCAATGTTTCACCTCCGTTCTTGCACGCAACCCATTGCATGCAATCAATTGCTCCAATTCATATTTCCAGCAAAAATAATATGTAGACTATGTAGACAATGTCCTCTTATCATAAATTCTGTGTATTACTTTTTACTGAGTTTCGAGTTGGGTAGGAGAAACCATGAGAACAGTAACATCCAATGTGCATCTAATGATGCATAAATTGAATGCATGACATTCTGACAATCTATCATTTTATCACTAGAGTTGCATCAGCAATATAAACTCTCGGAATATGAACAGGTCTGGAACAATTCCTTGTTGTCCAAAATGACCCTAATAATGCGCGCGATGGAAATTGTTGCTTTTTTTTGTAAAATTGCGAACTATATAGCGCCTCTGATGAAGATTCTGAATAAGTTATAACTTGCATTAGTATTTATAAATTTTCGATCAATCAATAGTTTCAGTTTGCTTTGCAAAAATTGCATGTTTTTTTATGTTATGCTTTGAGTTTTTTAAGAAAAATAAAAATGTACTTTTTTATTACGTTTTTTTTTCCATTTTGTTTAGCTAAATAAACAATATTTTTTTCTCAAGTGAATTTATTCAAAATAGTCCGAATTAATTCAAAAAGTCGGTCTTTCTTTACATTTTCATGAAAGTCATGACTTATATTCCACCCTTTGTTTTAACTAGAAATATAAGTTCAGCGTCTTCACTTTTATTTTGAGCCCTTCATTATCTCTTCTGTTGATATAGTTGAAAACGTGATATGAAAAAACAGTTGCTTTCATATACAGTGTGGACACTTTAACTGGAATAAATTTGTTACCGGGGAGGTTAATATTTTTTCTAAAAATTCTTGGCATACGTCCACGATTTAATGTTTATACCTACCTTTTGCAGCAATATCGGGAATATATGTCTCCAGGGGTAGGTGAAACCATCCCCAACATGATTTCTTCAAATATAACCCTACGGCTTGTGACCACTCATTGGGAAGCTGGTGGAAAGAGGAATCTCTTCACGCACAAAAAAGTTATGACTTTTCAAAAGACTCAAAAAAAATGTAGGTGGCGCCACCCCCACGAAAGAGACAAACTATCATAAAATTTGATATTTTCATTGACATATACCCCTAGATACCAAATTTCATTCCAATATCTCAATTATTTTGAAAACTATTAACAAAAAACAAAAATAAGAATTCAACTTTGACACGCTTTTCTGCTTATTTTGACGTCAGCAACATGCTTCTGAATTTTCTACACGTACTCAAGAAAGACCCTGTATAATTACCACCTACTCATTTGTCATTATTTGATTTTCAAAGATGAGCATCCATTATACGTCCACAAATAAACATCCACTGTACGTTTAGAGTGGTGTCCTCGAAACATCCATTGGACGTCCATCGGACGTTTAACGTCCAAATTGGTACGTTCAATGGATGCTTAGATATCGACATCCATTTTGAGTACTAAAAATAGCATTCATTGTACGTCCGAATATAGACATTCACTGTACGTCCAAAGTGGTGTCCTTAGGACACCCAGTGGACGTCTATTGGACGTTAGACGTCCATTCAAGTACTATCATAAGTGGACGTACATTGTACGTACATTCGACATACATGTGCTGTG